TAGTGAATTACACGAACCGCACACACAAACATAGCCATCGTCGATGCTGCAGTGTCGCACATCGTGATGGAAACTTAACATGATTATTTTTTTTGCAGAGAGCAACGCGAACGTGCCCTGGTATTTGTATAAAAAAAAGTAAATTTGGCCAAATGAACTTTTTACATTTAGTTTCAACTCATGTAGTTTCACTTGTTACGTTGTTTTAATGTATATAAACCAAAGCGGGAACCCGACTCGTGTCGTTGTGAACACACGAATAAAGTTGCGTGTTTACACACGAATAAAGTTGCGTGTTTACACCGTGGCTTGGACGATTGTGACGACACCGTGTGTGTGCACGCCAGGTGGGAAGGCGCGTGTGATACATGCTGTGGCCACACGTGCAAGGTGCACATTAAAAGTACACGTGTTATACACTGTGTGTCTATGTACGTGGGGGGAAAAACACGCTGACATCATTAACATTTCGTCTGAAAATCGCTGACATTTGGTGTTCAAGTAACTCACATTTGGTGTTCAAGTAACTCACATTTGGTGTTCAAGTAACTCACATTTGGTGTTAAAGTAACTTATATTTGGTGTTAAAGTAACTTACTTTTGGTGTTAAAGAGACTTACATTTGACGTTAAAGTAAATTACATTTGGTGTTCAAGTAACTCACATTTGGTGTTCAAGTAACTCACATTTGGCGTTAAAGTAACTTACATTTGGTGTTAAAGTAACTTACATTTGACGTTAAAGTAACTTACATTTGACGTTAAAGTAACTTACATTTGGTGTTAAAGTAACTTACATTTGGTGTTAAAGTAACTTACTTTTGGTGTTAAAGTAACTCACATTTGACGTTAAAGTAACTTACATTTGGTGTTAAAGTAACTTACATTTGGTGTTAAAGTAACTTACATTTGGTGTTAAAGTAACTTACATTTGGTGTTAAAGTAGCTTACATTTGGTGTTAAAGTAACTTACATTTGGTGTTAAAGTAACTTACATTTGACGTTAAAGTAACTTACATTTGACGTTAAAGTAACTTACATTTGGTGTTAAAGTAACTTACATTTGGTGTTAAAGTTACTTACATTTGGTGTTAAAGTAACTTACATTTGGTGTTACAGTAACTTACATTTGACGTTAAAGTAACTTACATTTGGTGTTAAAGTAACTTACATTTGGTGTTAAAGTTACTTACATTTGGTGTTAAAGTAACTTACATTTGGTGTTAAAGTAACTTACATTTGGTGTTAAAGTAACTTACATTTGGTGTTAAAGTAGCTTACATTTGACGTTAAAGTAACTTACATTTGACGTTAAAGTAACTTACATTTGACGTCAAAGTAACTTACATTTGACGTTAAAGTAACTTACATTTGGTGTTAAAGTAACTTACATTTGGTGTTAAAGTAACTTACTTTTGGTGTTAAAGTAACTCACATTTGACGTTAAAGTAACTTACATTTGGTGTTAAAGTAACTTACATTTGGTGTTAAAGTAACTTACATTTGGTGTTAAAGTAACTTACATTTGGTGTTAAAGTAACTTACATTTGGTGTTAAAGTAACTTACATTTGGTGTTAAAGTAACTCACATTTGGTGTTAAAGTAGCTTACATTTGGTGTTAAAGTAACTCACATTTGGTGTTAAAGTAACTTACATTTGGTGTTAAAGTAACTTACATTTGACGTTAAAGTAACTTACATTTGACGTTAAAGTAACTTACATTTGACGTTAAAGTAACTTACATTTGACGTTAAAGTAACTTGCATTTGGTGTTAAAGTAACTTACATTTGGTGTTAAAGTAACTTACATTTGGTGTTAAAGTAACTTACATTTGGTGTTAAAGTAACTTACATTTGGTGTTAAAATAACTTACATTTGACGTTAAAGTAACTTACATTTGACGTTAAAGTAACTTACATTTGACGTTAAAGTAACTTACATTTGTTGTTAAAGTTACTTACATTTGGTGTTAAAGTAACTTACATTTGGTGTTAAAGTCACTTACATTTGGTGTTAAAGTAACTTACATTTGGTGTTAAAGTAACTTACATTTGGTGTTAAAGTAACTTACATTTGACGTTAAAGTAACTTACATTTGTTGTTAAAGTAACTTACATTTGGTGTTAAAGTAACTTACATGTGGTGTAAAAGTAACTTACATTTGGCGTTACAGTAACTTACATTTGACGTTAAAGTAACTTACATTTGGTGTTAAAGTTACTTACATTTGGTGTTAAAGTAACTTACATTTGGTGTTAAAGTAACTTACATTTGGTGTTAAAGTAACTTCCATTTGGTGTTAAAGTAACTTACATTTGGTGTTAAAGTAACTTACATTTGACGTTAAAGTAACTTACATTTGGTGTTAAAGTAACTTACATTTGACGTTAAAGTAAATTAGATTTGGTGTTAAAGTAACTTACATTTGGTGTTAAAGTAACTTACATTTGGTGTTAAAGTAACTTACATTTGGTGTTAAAGTAACTTACATTTGGTGTTAAAGTAATTTACATTTGGTGTTAAAGTAAATTACATTTGACGTTAAAGTAACTCACATTTGGCGTTAAAGTAACTTACATTTGGTGTTAAAGTAACTTACATTTGGTGTTAAAGTAACTTACATTTGACGTTAAAGTAACTTACATTTGGTGTTAAAGTAACTTACATTTGGTGTTAAAGTAACTTACATTTGGCGTTACGTTCACTTCGATGAGTTGTATCTCCACGTGGATATCGGTGATAATCACGATAAAAAATCAGGGAAAGTTCTCAATGACGAAATCGCCGGCATGTCACACAATCAAAGTCACGTTTTTACGTGAAAATATTTTTTTTTTACAATTTATCCAAAAACACAAAAATCTCGTGCGGAAAACCATCAATCACTCTTCACGTGCACGTCACCTACACGTCACAGGGAAAACACGAAGATGTATTTTAGTTTCACCACGTGGTAAATCGCGGATATTTTACTAGGAATTCACTGGCATTTGCCTTTTAATGCCCTGCCGGTATTCAATTTTTCAGGTCTCACATCTTTTTGCGCGCAGAGATTTTGCGTAAATCGCTGACCATACGACGAGTAAATAATTTGTATTCGTCACGAAGACAATAAAACGGACAAATTCACGGGGAAGGTACGGACCTCACAGATGGAAATCGTCAACATTCCGTGAAAATCACCGCCTACCTGAAATTCGCGGCCCAAATACCACAGAGTGTGAAGCAGCAGATACCCTCCTACTCCTACTACAACGCGTACCGGCAACACCTCAATCTTAATCGCTTCGTGATCAATTAGTCCATAAGCTACTCACCCAATAATTAACGCGCACGTGGTGTGGACGCTTCAGGTGTGTCTATGCAGGTGTGTATGTGCGTGAACCTGCGCATACGCATGTACAATAGTGGGGAGCGGCAGTGTAGCGCTGCCCATCCGAAACCGACCACCCCGGTTCGATTACCGCTCACGGCCAATATGAGTGATAGATATAAGAGCCGATCCTGAGCCTCCCCTAGGTCGACTCAGGTGAGTACCATGTGTAAAGATCGGCACGTGGGAGACAAACGCGGCAGGTCGTGGTACCACGATGGCCTTCATAGGTGCTCGCTAACGGTGGTTACCCCAACAGCTACACGGGGGATCTTTTTGTCTTCGTGTCTGAGCATGCGCCCGAGAGGGCGACCCCTGCGGAGACGGATCGATGCAATCGGCTCGTGCACAGGAGCGAGACGGATTGCGGCATCGCAGGGTCGTGGCGGAGGGGGGGGGGGGCGAGGGCATGGGGAGACTTTCGTCCAGCAGTGGAGAGACCAAGGCTCATGATGATGAATCGAATAGAGTGGATGTTGTGGTTTTATGTAGAGGCGAGTGTGAATTGGGGGGAGGTGTAAGCGCCATCCGGAAACGCATCGAGTGCCCCTTAGACACACACAAAGACAAAGGTCCCCCGGATAGCCTACACCGACTGTTGGGGCGAGTGCTGTTAGCGAGCACCTATAAAGAGGGGTACGCCGCACAAGTGAGTGGTGCGGCCAGAACCACTCCCGGCCACCGTTGTCTCCCCAGTGCTTATGTCTGCACAGATTATTATCAGATCCTAATTTGAAGATTGAGTCGAATTAGGAAAGGGAGGCTCAGAAGCGGTTAATATACCCTTGGTCACTGACGTTGGCAGTGGCCGCGATTCGAACCCAGGTCCCCTGCTCCTCTTTGTGCATTTAATGGGCACACATCTAGGCACACACACACACAATAGCCACAATCGACATTTATACACAGAGGTACATATATACGTATAAGCATTAACACACAATAAGCAAACACACACACACGACAAAGACAAACACACATAGGCACGTGGACACGTATACACAAATCGCAGACACACAACATGTATATCTGCTATATATATGCAATGTGTACATATGAATGCTCTTATGAATTAAATACGTGCAATATATATGCTAACACAACATTCACGTGCAGTATATTTACAAAGACCCCCCCGTATAGCCAACACGGCACACGAGGGGGTGGGTGGCCAACACCACTCCCGGCCGCCTTTTTACACACCGCACCAGGTACACATTTGAGGCTGAGTCGACCTAGGGGTGGCCCATGCCCGGTTCAGATAATTGTCACTGGTGTTGGCCGTGAGCGGGAATAGAACTCGGGTCGCTGAGTTCGTAGCGCAGCGTAGCGCTAACCACTACACTACCGCTCCCCACACAGACACGTGCACACTCTCGTGCACACACACGTGCACACACATCGTGCACACACACGTGCACACACACGTGCACACTCTCGTGCACACACATCGTGCACACACACGTGCACACATACGTGCGCGCAACACAATCAAAGGACAGTTAACACTGGGTTCAAACCGTGCAACAACAACAAGACGATGCTCGTGATCATGATGATGAGTTTTGTTTAGACTTTTCCTTCAATGTCAACATTTACCATTTAGAACACCGTGACGACACAGGCCAAGGTTTTTTTCCCCCCACGTTTATTAGCGATCATCAGCAAGCCACGATCACTCTACTGTAGATACAAACAACTCGTGACAAGTAAAGCGGTCTTTGTTCGCTCGCTTTCTAACGGCTTCGGCGTCGCACTCGGAGGCGAACGACACGGATATCGAGTCGTGAGTGACGATCATCAGACTTCAAGCAAGGCAGAACTTGATCTTGCCCTATGAGTGAAACCACTCAACCCCTTGCCTGTCATTTCGTGTGTGTGTGTGAACAAAACCACGCAAACAAATTAATAATGTGGCCATCCAATGTTTCTCGACATGAGCATTGACTCGACGACTCCTCTCCGTGTCTCTCTCTCTCTCTCTCTTGAGCCCCCCTTTCACGAGCCCCCCAGGAGCACGTGCGCGGGCGGGCACGCACCAATCACCGTGTTGGAAGCTGCGTGCGCGTGATTAGCGACGAGTCGAATGTCCACGACACGCTCACAACACAGCACTGCCACGTGGCCAAGCGACAAACCCCAGCGCTGTCGATGCAGCAGCAGCAGCAAGGGTTGGTGGTTCACACGCAGATGAGAGCGAAGCTCCCTTCCCGTGGGCCTCGATGGAGGTGCCTGCCGTACGCTGGCTTGCCAGGAGCAGGCGGAACAGCAAGTGTGGACTAATCCCTGCCTGCACCGCTGCGTATGGGACCGAGTGATGTCCCACCGAGGCACGCGTGGCGGTTCTCAGGGTGTACCCGTTTCATGCCACGTCCATCGATCGCTCCACTATCAATTGGCTGGAAGCGCCACGACACAACGCAGCACCTCCGCGCGTTGTAGATCGTACACCGTTGTGATGCATGCACGTTGAAATTCTTTCGCACTCTTAGCACGTAGCCGAACGCGCTAATCGGAGATGCAACTTGCACGGATAAGGCTGCATACAAAAAAAACACACACACCGATGATTAAACACACGAGGGCATTGTGGTGTCGGCTGTAGGAAGGGATTCATTTGAGTCGGCTCTGTTCGGGTCGGTGACCCGGAAATAATTCGCACACCCGGTACACCACATCCAGGATTCATGTCTTTTATGATGGCTGTGGCTACTAATCACGTGCTCCCTATTCCAATCTACCAGCGACCTGGCCAATGGGCAAAGAGAAACGTAGCCTTGCCTATGAGGGCATTTTAGTATCGACTATAGGGCATTTCCGAAATACCAGAGGGCTTTTCGAATATACTACAGGGCATTATAGTATAGACTATATTTGCCATTGTAGGATACACTCTATGGGTATTACAGGATATACCATAGGGCATTGCTGTACTGTATAGACTATAGGGCATTTTGATATGGAATGTAGGTCATGGCAATCTAGACTTACCCGTCCAGTGTGTGTTCTTGTCCGAGTGCCTCTGTGTCCCCGTGTCTCGCTCGCGTGTCTCCGTGCGTCTCCTCGCGTGTCCCCGTGCGTCTCGCTCGGCGCCCAGGCTCACGGAGCCGAGACGCGAAAGGCGTCGACACGCAGCCTCGCCGCGTCTCGCTCGGCATTGATGTCTCAAGGGAGAGAGGGGAGAGAGCGAGGGAGAGAGGGCAATAGACGGGAGATGGCAGACACGGGGGAGGAGGGGGTGACACGGGGGGGGGGAGATAGGGTAAGAGAGGAGAAAGCATAGATGGAGACGGGGGAGAAGGGAGCGGAGAGGGATATGGTGGGGAGAGGGGAGACAGGGGAGAGAGGAAGGGGGGACAAGAAGCGAGAGGAGCGTTAAAAGATTGGAAAGGGCGAGAGGAGAGAGCGGAGAAGACATGGAGAGAGAGAGAAGACATGGAGAGAGAGAGAAGACATGGAGAGAGGGATAAAAGAGATAGAAGACATGGAGAGAGAAGAGAGAGAGAAGACATGGAGAGAGAGAGAGAGAAGACATGGAGAGAGGGATAAGAGAGAGAAGACATGGAGAGAGGGATAAGAGAGAGAAGACATGGAGAGAGGGATAAGAGAGAGAGAAGACACGGAGAGAGAGAAGAGAGAGAGAAGACGTGGAGAGAGAGGGAAGAGAGAGAAGACATGGAGAGAGGGATAAGAGAGAGAGAAGACATGGAGAGAGAGAAGAGAGAGAGAGAGAAGCGATGTGAAAGGGGAGAGAAAGGAGAGGGGGTAGCAGGGCAAAGGGATAGGAGAGAGCGGTCGAGGGAAGTGACAGGAGAGACAGTGGGGGGAGAGAGAATGAAAGATAGGAGAGGGGAGAACAGGGATGGGAGAGGTGAGAGACGGGGGAATTGGGGAGAGATTTCTGTACAATGAAAGCGACTACGTGACCCATATAGCTCTACTCGGCGCCCATACGCGCAAATCACAGCCAGAGCAATGCGGGACACGTGGGTGGTGACGGGTCGCACTACACTCGTCTGCACCGCTCACGCGAGACACGGGCATGCTGCATGCCGTGGTGCCTCCCCTCCACAGGCTGAAGCAGGAGGGGGGCGTTGTGGTGGAGCCAGTGGTGGACATTCTGGCTATGGAGGAGCTACAGTGGGCGCCTCTGTCGGTGCCTCGATCTCTGTCTGCTCCGCGCTGAGCCGCTGGATGCGGAGCCTCTGAGCCGGGGGCTGGCGAGGCCCGCCGGCCCCCAGGGGCAGACAAAAAGCGAGACGCAGACTCGCCATGCCGTGGCCCCACTCAGCACCGAGAACAGCACCGCGTCATCCTCACAACCAGAGCTCGTCCTTTATTATAAACACATCAAGATATATACACACACACATCCACAGCGCCGTTTTGTTAAATTCACTTCTGATTGGACCCCCGCCCCCACGCGGTATCGGTCTTGTAGGTTGTTGTTGTTTAGGCCACACTTCACCACGCTGGTCACGTGCAGGTTGGTGAAGAGGGGGAGGTGAAGGGTTCAGTGAGATGACGTGAATGTTATTATTTTTATTTTACAGTCCTTGGTGACCGGGCGGAGACCATCATGAACTCGCTACGCCCGAGAACGCCGTCGAGTCAGACTTGGACTCAGGATCTCAGCGGTGCCGGCTCACTGTCTCTGACCCCTGGGGTTGTCCGGCCACACACACGCGTTCCTGCGCAATAACTTGGGTCTCCAGAGTTAGCATGGACATCTCCACGAATAATAAAGTATTAAAGCTTTCGTGACTGCCGTTTTGTAAGATGTGCGTGTTTGAGCTGCCGCTCTCGCCCCTCCCCCCCTCCAACCGCATTTCCTATTTAAGCTTCTGTTCATCCCCCCCCCTCTCTCTGCCTCCCTGTGCGTCTTTCCTCCCTCCTTACCTCTTGGTAGACTTGTATATGTATTTCTACTGACCCTGTACCTCGTATTTTTCATTCTATCTATGCTGGTATGTGCAATCCCAAGGTTGAACACGAAATTTAACACTTCTGAAATTCGTGGTCCGCCAGGAAGTGTCTAACTGTGTTGTTGGCCTGCCTGGATGTGCTTCACATAATGTTTTTTCAGGTTTGGTGAATTCTCGTCTCTCATCTTTTTGTTTTATTTACCTCCGTGATTTGTTCTTGACACCTGATGAAGATCGCTTGCGTTGTGATCGAAACGTCGTGATTGTTTTTTGTTTAAATATAATTTTATTGTATTTCCACATACGTGAACTTCTAGATTTAAAGCTTTCGTGACTGCTAGGATCCAAACTCTTTGGTTCTATTGGGTAAAGTCACGTGGGTAAAAAATAAAATAACAAAAATCACGACGTTTCGGCCACAACACAAGCGGCCTTCATCAGGTGAAGGGACGAGACTGTCTGGAGGACAGCGCTGGAGTGAAAAAAAGCCACGCTCAGATCACGACCTTTAAGCTGTGTGAGAAGAAAACAAAGCGCCTTGACAAAGGAATTAGCATATAATTTAGCATTGAAATGGCTCATTGAAATAGCTAAGTTAAAGTATACACATCCACAGAGGCACCCCTTGTCAAAGGAATTAGCATAGAATTTAGCATTGAAATAGCTGAGTGATTAGCTTGTAACTGGTCACAGAAATAGCTATGTTAAAGTCAGAGCATATACATTCACCGAGGCACCTAGTACAAATCAAACAGGAGAATTTAGCGAAACACAACCACGCTCAGACCGCAGACCTTTAAACTGTGTGCGAGCAAACAAGGTATCCTGACAAAGAAATTAGCATAAAAATTAGCATTTGATTGGCCGATTTTAGAAAAGAGGTGGTGTACGTGCCGGTGGACTGGCCGTTTGGCGCGGGGGGGGGGGGAGTTTACCTATTGATGGTGTGAAAAGGGAATTTATAAGAGCTGCGAAAGTTTGGGGTACCACTACTTGAAAAATATACTGTACCATTGAAATTAGTTTAATGTTTAGTTCGATTTAGAACATCTTTCCAATGGTTGCTTAATTTGAAACCATCTTCTCGGTTGAAATTGTGTCTGTGTTTGTAGATCTGAATTGCCTCGTGAACAAATCTCTGATAAAAACCCGTGGGTTTGCAAAGAACCTTGGTATCGGAGAAAATTATATCATGATCACCCACAGCGTTGTAACAGTGATCAGCCACGGCAGAAGAATTCGTTTTGCCGTGTTTCAAATTTGATTTGTGCTCGCGAATTCGGTCAGAGACATGTCGCTTTGTCTCCCCGAATGGAGTTGTACCTGCGGTGATTGCTATATCGGGGAGACAAAGCGACATGTCTCTGACCGAATTCGCGAGCACAAATCAGATTTGAAACACGGCAAAACGAATTATTCTGCCGTGGCTGATCACTGTTACAACGCTGTGGGTGATCACAATATAATTTTCTCCGATACCAAGGTTCTTTGCAAACCCACGGGTTTTTATCAGAGATTTGTTCACGAGGCAATTCAGATCTACAAACACAGACACAATTTCAACCGAGAAGATGGTTTCAAATAAAGCAACCATTGGAAAGATGTTCTAAATCGAACTAAACATTAAACTAATTTCAATGGTACAGTATATTTTTCAAGTAGTGGTACCCCAAACTTTCGCAGCTCTTATAAATTCCCTTTTCACACCATCAATAGGTAAACTTCCCCCCCCCCCTCGCGCCAAACGGCAAGTCCACCGGCACGTACACCACCTGTTTTCTAAAATCGGCCAATCAAATGCTATTTTTTATGCTAATTTCTTTGTCAGGATAACTTGTTTGCTCGCACACAGTTTAAAGGTCTGCGGTCTGAGCGTGGTTGTGTTTCGCTAAATTCTCCTGTTTGATTTGTACTAGGTGCCTCGGTGAATGTATATGCTCTGACTTTAATATAGCTATTTCTGTGACCAGTTACAAGCTAATCACTCAGCTATTTCAATGCTAAATTCTATGCTAATTCCTTTGTCAAGGGGTGCCTCTGCGGATGTGTATACTTTAACTTAGCTATTTCAATGAGCCATTTCAATGCTAAATTATATGCTAATTCCTTTGTCAAGGCGCTTTGTTTTCTTCTCACACAGCTTAAAGGTCGTGATCTAAGCGTGGCTTTTTTTCACTCCAGCGCTGTCCTCCAGACAGTCTGGTCCCTTCACCTGATGAAGGCCGCTTGTGTTGTGGCCGAAACGTCGTGATTTTTGTTATTTTATTTTTTACCTACGTGACTTTACCCAATAGAACCAAAAAGTATACGTGACTTTACCGAAAAAAACAATGAGTAATCTCCACGAATAGTTCCTGCCAAAAAAATAACTCAAGAGTAATTCTCACCTCCGTTGACAAGCCTTAAACAGCGGTGCTAATTCAACGTTCTTATGCCAGACTTGGCAATGCTTTGGAAGTTTGATAAGACGTGTATCGCAAAAGAGGTAGCTTTGTTTCTGATGGCTGGCTGCCATTCACTCATTGTATTTGGTTGAACATATTATTCAGAATTGCCCTGTGAGCTAAGAAGCTCTTGAATCGGGTTTCATCAACGAAACAAAAAAAAATGTTAAATTCTAAACACAACGTTTGCGACAGGCTGCATACAAATTCTAAATACATCAAATACAGCAATGAAAAAAGTCAACAAATTAAAAACACAATACATTACTTACAATACATTACTTAATTATAATTATAAATTAAATATTAAGATATTGCAAAATAGTGCATCTAGAGTGAGGAATAAGAGTCGATACAATCTTTGCAAAACAAGGCAGCGCACGATATCGCCCATCCCACTCGCTGTGGAACTGCGGATGTTGGCGGATTTGTAACAACACGAGAGATGACGATCATTCCCTGCATGCAGACTATACGACTGCTGGCCTGTGGGGTGAATGCGTGGTGAGGACGGAGGCATGACGGTCGGTTACGCCGACGTCATTCTGTGGTTGGTGGTAGCCGCATGCGGTGGCCGGCAAGTGACAAAAGCCTCGCGCCGCGACGATTTCAATTTATGTGTAAATGGGGAACAAATAAATAAACAAAACCCGACCTCCCCCGGCCACGTTCCGGCGTGATCTGCTACTGTAAATCCATATAAATAATTCACGCGAAGCAATAACGATTCCTCAATCGCAACATGCATATTTAATGCCATTTTTTGGGGGGGTTATCTGCAAATGCACATTCTCGAGGTGCCATCACGAGGGGCAGCGGTGGCGCAGCGTGGCCGCGCGATGCCACCCCGCCAATGGGGTAGCTCACACGGTGCGCAGGCGGTGCAACTGCACCGGGGTCCTGCACCAGGAAAGGTTGTCGAAGGGACTATTTGGCTGCTCTAAATTGCCACCTGATAAGCCACTTCCATTGGGCTATCATTTCGTGGTCAGGTCGCGTCTGAAAAAGAGCTTCAGAGCTCAATGGGCCTTAACCTGGTAAAAATAAAAATTGTAATAATAGTAAAAGCCGGGACATATGCGAAAAAGATCGTCTCACAATACCGAGAGAGTGGGGATAGCTGAAATGCGTTGTCCGGAGTGTTGCATTATTATTATGAAGCAACTGACAAATGATCCGGGAATACTTACGAATCTCCCCAGGGTTCAGCTACTATCTCAACCGACAGGACGAGCCTGGGAAATCTAGGACAGGTGGCAACACGAGGATTACTTGTTGAGTGTGCAGGCGGTGCAACTGCACGCGGGCCATGGTCCCGAGTGGGGGGGGGGGGGGGGGGTGTCGGAGGGGGGGGGGGTCGGAATTGAACAGGGGACGCTCAATGTTGAACGCCACGGTGACGAGATGTTAACTACCTCGCCTGGTATACAGGAGGTCGTGGGTTCATCCCTCGCATCAGCGCCCATGCCGACCACGCTACGCCAGTATTGGCCAGTCGCCTATTCTTGAAAGAGCAGTGTCCGGTCATCTCAGGGCACGACCCGGAGATTATTTCTGGCCGTGTAAGCGATCAGGGATCGATCGCCTGTGAGTCGCAGTTGCATGCCAGGTTCAGTTGTGGTGTTCCAACTCTGCAGCAGTGCTTAAGAACGTAGAAAAGTCAGCTGCGCGGTTATTAATAGCGTGATTGGGAATGCGGCTACAGCCTTCAATTAGCCAGTCAACAATTCCCGTTTTAGCAATATTGCAAGACGTCACTCCACATGTCGCACCCCCTCGTCATTAATATTCATGAGCGGGTCCATTTTTACACTCACACAGAAGAAGGTCGAGCGGAATTAATTTGTTATTTTTCGCAAATTCGCTTTAACTTTGACGTTTCTTTGTTGAAAGTGAATCTAATAAATTATTATACGCAGCAACAAAGCGGATTTGGTGTCTTTATTTATTTATTCAGCACTTGAGACAAAAGGTAAGTCTAATTTATGTTTATACATTATGGTTAAATAGACATTTCACAGTGATTTTCCAGATATTTGATCGAATTCCAATGCATTTCAACCCCAGCAATCTAAAGCAGAAGAGAATAAAGTCTCAGAGCAGTGAATTTGAACAAATTGAAGGTCAGTTACATACAGTGCTACAGTGACATGAAGTGTTTTATGACGTAGTTTCGTGCAAGATTCACTGTCATTAAATTTAGACAAGTATTATACTCGTGTAAAATATTGCAGCTTCCGTCCTAGGACGGGCAAATGATCTAGTTGTAAAGAAAGACGCATTGGACATAGAACCTCCATACAGCCTTCACAGACGTTTTGGCTAAGTGCTGTTAGCGAGCACCTATGAAGGCCATCAGGGTGCACATGGGGGTGGGTGGCTAGCACTACGCCGGGCCGCCTTTGTCTCCCAAGTGGAGATGTTTTTTTACACACCGCACCAGGTACTCATTTGAGGCTCAGTCGACCTAGGGGAGGCCCATTAAATTGTTCAGTTATTTTTTTATTTAAAGCTTTCGTCGTGACTGCAGTAATTCATATTCTTAGCTCTTTCGGTAAAGTCACGTTGAAGGGAAACAATAAAATAATAATATATATATAAAACAATACAAATTCTCACGACGTTTCGACCATAACACAAACGGTCATCATCAGGTGTGAAAAACCAACGGCAAGAAACATTTGAAAGAAGTGGCGGTTTGTATTTATTTATTTAAAACCGTTGGCACCACGGGCAGCGATTTGACAGTTTGTTTAGATGGACGAGTCCATCTATGTTCTGAAAAAAGGAGGGGGGAGACGAAAAATTAATGTATGCTGTCTGAAAGCCACCGTAAGCGTGAACAATCAATTAAGACCTGAAATGGTTTATATTTAAAAATAAATAAATGCGAACCGCCACTTCTTTCAAATGTTTCTTTGCCGTTGGGTTTTCACACCTGATGATGACCGTTTGTGTTATGGTCGAAACGTCGTGAGAATTTTGTGTTTTATATATATTTTATTATTTTATTGTTTCCCTTCAACGTGACTTTACCGAAAGAGCTAAGCATATCTTCTGTTAATTGGCACAGGTGTTGGCCGTGAACGCGTCAACCGCTGCTACACTTCAGCTCCCCACTACATGTCACATGCACGCACGTACACGCAGCTACCGGAGTACGTTACACGATGTTTGAGCACACGTGATCATATCGCAGTTGGGTACGTGAATTATATTACGCGTGGCAGCACACGGAAACACACGTGATCTGTTTGAATGCTGTACACGTGACAGTTCGTGCAGTCTGCGAGAGTACACGTGAGCGGCGTACACAGGGTCCTATGCGAGTACACGTGGTGAGTATAGTGCTCTGTTGGTATGTATGAGTACACGTAGTCTCTTTAAGTACTTGTACAGGAATTCGTGAGTACATATAGCCCGCGTGAGTACACGTGACAGTACACGTGGTCTGTGTGAGTACACGCGGTCCGTGTGAGTGTACGTGGGAGCACACGTGGTCTGTGTGTGTGTACGTGGGAGCACACGTGGTCTGTGTGTACGTGGGAGCACACGTGGTCTGTGTGTGTGTACGTTGGAGCACACGTGGTCTGTGTGTGTGTACGTGGGAGCACACGTGGTTTGTGTGTGTGCACATGGGAGCACACGTGGTCTGTGTGTGCACGTGAACCACACGTGGTCTGTGTACGTGGGAGCACACGTGGTGTGTACGTAGGAGCACACGTGGTGTGTGTACACGTGGGAGCACACGTGGTTTCTGTGTGTACGTGGGAGCACACGTGGTGTGTACGTAGGAGCACACGTGGTGTGTGTGTACACGTGGGAGCACACGTGGTTTCTGTGTGTACGTGGGAGCACACGTGGTGTGTGTGTGTACGTGGAGCACACGTGGTATGTGTGTGTACATGGGAGTACACGTGGTCTCTGTGTGTGTACGTTGGAGCACACGTGGTCTGTGTGTGTACACGTGGGAGCACACGTGGTCTGTGTGTACGCGGGAGCACACGTGGTCTGTGTGTGCACACACGTGGGAGCACACACGTGGTCTGTGTGTGTGGACATTGGAGCACACGTGGTCTGTGTGCGTGTATACACACGTGGGAGCACACGTGGTCTACAGTGCGTGTGCACGTGGGAGCACACGTGGTCTACAGTGCGTGTGCACGTGTTTCCGGGTCCGTTACGCCGCGTGTTGTGTATAGCGCTGCACTGTATTAGCTGGAGCCGCGGGCCCCGCGTGCCTCGGTGTGTCTCCGCGTGTCTCGGTGTGTCTCAGCGTGTCTCACCGTGTCTCACCGTGTCTTTCTGCGTGTCCCTGTCTCTCCACGTGTCTCTCCTCGTGTCTCCGCGTCTCTCCCCGTGTCCCTGTCTCTCCGCATGTCTCTGTCTTAACGTCGCTCTGTCTCTGTACTTGTTTCGGGCCCTGAGTGTCTCGATCCGTCTTTGCGATTCTCTGCGTGTCTTGAGTGTTTTTGTTGTCTCCCCCGTGTCTAAATCCTCGTCTCCGTATTTCCCCCACGTGTCTCCGTGTCGCTCCCTGTCTCCGTGTGTTTCCCCGTGCGTCTCCCACACAACCCTCGCTTCTCTCCCGTGTCTCCGCGCGTCTCGGCGTTACGCATGCTGTCCACCTGCCCGCGTCTGTCTCGGCTCTGGCCTCTGTCGCTCTCCTTGTCTCTGTCTTTGTCTCGAGTCCTCGCCACCATGGGAGACAGCTCGTCCCGGGTCGCGATGGTCTCCCCGGACCGCGCCCTACCCGGCTCCGTGGAGCGCATGGCGGTGTCCGGTACCAGCCCCACACCCCTCGGACACACCACCTCGGACACACCACACACACAGACACACCACATACACACACCACACACACACACACGGACTCACCACACACACACCACACACACGGACTCACCACACACACACACGGACTCACCACACACATACGGACTCACCACACACACGGACTCACCACACACACCACACACACGGACTCACCACACACACACACACGGACTCACCACACACACACACGGACTCACCACACACACACACACGGACTCACCACACACACACACATGGACTCACCACACACACACACGGACTCACCACACACACACACACGGACTCACCACACACACACACGGACTCACCACACACACACACACGGACTCACCACACACACACACACGGACTCACCACACACACACACGGACTCACCACACACACACATCACACACACACACACACGGACTCACCACACACACACCACACACACACACACCACACACACGGACTCACCACACACAAACGGACTCACCACACACACACTCACCACACACACGGACTCACCACACACCACACACACAGACGCACCACATACACACAAACCACACACACACACGGACTCACCACACACACAGACCACACACACAGACACACCACATACACACACACCACACACACACGTACACACCACACACACACACGGACTCACCACACACACACACACACGGACTCACCACACACACACACGGACTCACCACACACACACCACACACACGGACTCACCACACACACACACCACACACACGGACTCACCACACACACACACCACACACACACACCACACACACACACCACACACACACACACACCACACACACGGACTCACCACACACACACACGGACTCACCACACACACACACGGACTCACCACACACACACACACTGACTCACCACACACACACACACTGACTCACCACACACACACACACTGACTCACCACACACACACGGACTCACCACACACACACACGGACTCACCACACACACACGGACTCACCACACACAACACACCACACACACCACACACACGGACTCACCACACACACGGACTCACCACACACACACACCACACACACGGACTCACCACACACACACGAACTCACCACACACACACACACGAACTCACCACACACACACACACACCACACACACACGGACTCACCACACACACACACCACACACACACCATACACACACACCACACACACCATACACACACACCACACACACCACACACACACACACCACACCACACACACACCACACACACACACCACACACACCACACACACCACACACACACACCACACACACCACACACACCACACACACACGGGGCAGGCACGGTCTCGAAGGCCAGGGTCAGCGGCCTTAGGGCGTCACGCACCTGGGGGGGGGGGGGGGTCAGACAATTGTGACGATGTGTGACGAGGGGGGGCGGGGTTTGAGAAATGTGACGTCACATCAAAATGCGTAACTTTAAATAAATATAGACAACACGTTTTACTCATCTTCTTTGGTTCTTTCGGTAAAGTCACGTCCTACCAGCGCTGTCCTACCAGCGCTGTCCTACCAGACAGTCTCGCCCCCTTCACCTGATGAAGGCCGCTTGTGTTGTGGCCGAAACGTCGTGAGAATATTATTGTGTTATTTTATTTTATCAATTTATTATTTTATTATCATTCTACGTGACTTTACCGAAAGAACCAAAGAAGATGAATCATTGCAGTCACGAAAGCTTTAAATCGAAACGTTCTACTCAATTAAATATACTTTTTAAATAAATGTCTTCTACAACATCAGAGTGCAGCGCCACATTAAATACGCACTACAATGACAATAGTTTAAAGCGATTTGAAGCATGTTTTATTTTGGGGGGGGGGGCAGAGCTTTGTGACGTCATATTGGAGGGGGGGGGTCTGACTTTTTGTGACGCCGTGTGAATGGGGGGGGTCAAAAATCGTCAAATCGCGTGACGTCATTTATGGACGGCCCCTAACATTGCGTGGCATGAGAGAGGACACACACACACACGTGTGGTTTGTCAGTAAAGGTGTAAAGCATCATTGTTTCGTTTTCATATTCTTTGGGTCTTTCGGTAAAGTCACCTCGATAGGTTCAAATAAAAAGAACAAACCTACCTACGTGACTTTACCGAAAGACCCAAAGAAAATGAATTCCTGCAGTCACGAAAGCTGTAAGTCAAGACTGACCTTGTATTCTCGTGAATGGTAGCGCCTCTAGTGGCTGCAGGGGTCACCCGAACCAATTGGTGAACAATTAACGTTTCATAATCATTCGTGTTATATTCCCCCAGACGATTGTGTGGTCTGGGTTCAGTATAAATGTGTGTTGTGCGCCTTTGCATCAGTTACTGTACTCCGTTATGAGACCTTAGGAGTGCTGAATCTCTGAATATGCTCTACTGGTCCCTGCCCTAGGAATGTGGACTTTCCAGCACTGGCTCAGGACTGTCGTTGCACATGGTCATAAGCACGCCATGACGTTCAACACTTGATGTGTATTTGTCGTTGAATGACTTGGTAAAATACTTTTTGGATTTGGTTCGATGTAGTTTTCAGTTAATCCGTAAATGCGTCAATCATGCAATAATGTTGAAAGGCTTAAGAGTTCCAGGAATGTTAATAGCGCTTTACTCAGTAATTAATTTAAACCATTGACATTTTTTCACTGTTAACTTTCGCATCGATAGTGTTTCTTTTAATCCAATACAGGTTAATGTTTGTTGAACTTCTTTCGCACTGTACATAGCCAACCTGCGCCAATGCTTTGCTTTACTGTACTATCCTCTCACGTGCCGCTCCTTTGCTGCCCGCCATCCTTCACAACAAACCTGCATTGACCATCGCGGTGAAGTATGGTCAAATCACACACAGTTGGGCTGCTTGGCTCCAGGGCGTCCGAGCGGGAAGCTTTTCATTTGCCCTTTCCTAATCACTGTGTTATAAGCACATATTTTGTATTTTTATATATATATTTTATAAACTTGCAATGCACTCTCTGGAAGGAATTAGCGACACGTCTCATTCCAAGAAGCAGCTGACGAGCAGTCTTGAAACTTGGGGTTTGCAACCTGCCCTGACTTTCCCAGGATTGTTCACCAGTTGTGAGGCTTCTGCTACCCTGGATGAATCTGGCAATCATCCCAGAACATTAAAAGTCCCTTATTTTGTAAATTGCTTAATATATATATTTTTTAAGTAATAGGCAACACTCAAGACAATGCATTTACTTGGAGTTCTGGCCCATTCGGTCACGTGAGATGTTCGCCTTCCCATAATGTCCCAGATTTTTGTACCTCAGCGGTGGCAACCCTGCCTGCAACTCGGCGAGGTTTTTCTTAACAAGTAAATAAACAAATATTCACAGAAACACAACATTTTTTTGGTAGAACTTTTTCAATATTGTCCAGGCTTTTTTTTTCCCACGAACCCTTTCAGCTCGAATAAATGGCCATTATTCAGCCAGAAGGAACACAAATTGTGCACTCATCTAACAACGTTGGGCCATTTTCATCGCATCGCGAACCGAACTCAAATGAGTTCCCCCTCGGGCAACGTTTGTTATTTCCAGAGTTCGTTTAAGTGTCACCTGCCCCCCCATGCACCCCACCACCCTGTTTGCAAATCATTACACAGCGGTTGAAAAACAGCACGGTCGTGATAGCAGTCCCTTCACGTGTGAGTGGGCCTGGCCCATTCGGCCCTTGGGAGTGAACTTTGCTTCAACGCTGGTGAGATGTGTCCCCAGTTTGCCTTGGCCAGATAAGAGGATGGCGCTTGTCTCGCGAGTTATCCTGTGCACCCGCAGATCGGCCGCGTCCGTGCGGATGCAAGTTCACTTTAATTTGCCCAGCGTGCAAACGCAATCTTGCTTCGTAGCTGACGTGGGCTTGTGCGCGTTTCAGCTTCGGATAGAAATGAGCGCAGCAGCGTCTGGTGGGAATGCCCGCTACCCACATCGTGTTTCGAGAAACACTTGTGAGGCTTCGTTGCCTCAGTCAGTGTCACGTCTGAATTTTAAACGCGATGGCCGTGCGTCGAATTTCATTCTGTTATTGAGGAAGCAGATCGCCTCTTCATTTGCTATACCTGAAAGGCAAGTCGATGCATCCGTCTCTCCGTCCATACGTTTTGGATAGATGGCCAGTGTGGTGAGCACCCCGGTGTGGTGAGCACCCCGGTGTGGTGAGCCCCCCGGTGTGGTGAAACCCCCGGTGTGGTGAGCCCCCTGGTGTGGTGAAGCCCCCTGGTGTGGTGAAACCCCCGGTGTGGTGAAACCTCCGGTGTGGTGAGCCCCCCGGTGTGGTGAGCCCCCCTGGTGTGGTGAGCCCCCCGGTGTGGTGAAACCCCCGGTGTGTAATTGACTGGCCCGCCAGCTCGTCTTCCACAATTGTTTTTTCTTCTATGAGTTATTTTAGCACCCTCACAAATAATTATTCTCATCACTGCGCTGTTCAGTTTATTTTCTGGAATCTTGGGGCTTGGCAGCAGAGTTTAAGACTGGCTGATTGGGCAAGCACTGAGAGGTGTTGTTTTTAAAATAATCCTGTATGATTGTTTAAACACGCCGCACGGTGTGGCGTGGTTTTTAGTTATCACTTTATTAACTCGTGGTGTTGTGTGCGAATGGCTTTATTGGTGTTGTAATATTTTAGTTGTATATCATGTCGTTCGTGCAAATTGCATTTCACACAGTTGCTGAGGAACCACTGGCAAGTATCTAGCCAGCCAGGCGGTGTGCCTGTGCCAATTGCCCAAGCTGTGCAGTCCTCTACATATTAAGATGTTACCAGCCAATTCCATGAGTATTTCACACCAGCGTGTTTGCCTGTCCTCGGACGGAAGCTGTAATATTTACGAAAAAATTGAGCAGAGTAATAATTGTATCTTGTGTAAATTATAATGGCAGTGAATCTTGCACG